ACAAATAGTTGGAAATTAAATTACACGGAAAGGGTTGATTTTATGACTCGTGTTAATAAGATTTTTTTTATCCGTTTCAGTGAGTACTATAAAGCACTTTTACCACCCTGTATATTTTCGACGAAGAACGATCGCGATAATTGAAGTCTCCACGAAAGGAGTATTTTCGCAAACGACTGTACATGCGAGTTTCGTTTGCGGAGAAAGAGATTTCCGGGCTCCTTTCAATGAACGGAGCAACATTCTCGCGGTGAGAAAATTCATTTCGCACGACGATCAACCTTCAGTTTCTCCTTCTCCTGCTGTACCTTCTTTTTGCATTGATTTTGAGCTTTAGACAAGTTGGAAAGCAATTTAACGTGCGAACTTATCATTGATGAACTTACTATGTTATCCGTGAAGATAAAAGATAATATATATATAATATACTATTACTTATTAACAACAATTAAATAAAAAATGACGAAATCTATTGTACGTCTTTAAAAAAAATCAAATTATATTAATTATTAATTATTTTCTTTTTAATGAACACGATATGTGAAAGAGAGATTTAACATTGAATAAACGAAATATTGCAATAAATCGAATTCCTATATTTCGGTTATCTCGTTCTATGAAACGGAAAGATAACAAAATGAAATGGCTGATTGAAATGGCGATTAAATCGAATACTAATACGAATTCGCCGTACCAATTTGGGGGAAGATATACGTTATGACAAAATAAAGATGTCCTCAGGGAAGAAAATATTCGCTTTCGAGTAATTACAGCGATCAAATCGGAGGAAATACCGGAATCTTGGTCAAAATTGTTTGGTATTGGGAAGAAGAAGATGCACAATGTCAGAATAGGAAATCCTATAACTAGATAGAACTATTTCATTCAAACGGAAATACATTATTTAATCGGTTTGATAATCGATTATTCTATAGATCGATGTCGACAAAAGAAAAAAAACAAATTATTGAAATTGTTACTCACCAAAAATAATCAGACTTGCGAGAAAAAACGAGACATATGAAATATCTCCCTTTTTTTCTTTCCTTTCAAAACACTCTTAAATCACTATGAATCACCAAGTCTCTCTCTCTCTCTCTTTCTTTCTTTCTTTTTCGTTCTTTATCGTGCAATATATATGAAAATTTGACAAAGTCATATAAAAATTTATATATATTATATTATATCGTATAAATAAGAAAGAAAGATCTCGATGCCTTAGACTCCATTTTAAAATCTTTTAAAATTAAAAATGCACGAGATAAGATCTAATAAATATATAATATACAAAAAACAGAAAATAAAAATAAATAAAAAATAAAATACAGTAATATATTTATATTTTCGCAACAACAACAAAACAAAAAGGTAGATAAAATAACGGAAAGAGAGTTAACGGGAGAAACGATACATACAAAATAATAATAATAATAATAATAATAATAATAATAATAAAACACGCGTCAGTACATAAGCCAAAAGATCGATCCTCGGTGATCGATGAAATGCGAACGACTGGTGGTAAAGTTAGAAACGGTGATGCGGCTTCTATCAACTACTTCGCAGACGGCTGACGAAAGAACGAATGGCTCAGTGAGACCTTCGGTCGAACTCTCCGAGCCCTGAGGAAGAAGGCAACAACACTTCTTGTTGATAGGTCGGATTAAGCCCTCCTATCGCTTCTTTCGAATTCAAGGATAATAATTAAAAAAAAAAAAAACCATTCGGAGCATAAACGCGAATGCGTTTACATTTTACTTACTTTGTTTTTTTCTTTCTTTCTTTTTCTCTGTATTTAAACATCCTTTGTATTTTGTGTATCTATTTTTTCCAAATTCGTCTTATGCGCTAATTAAAAAAAAACCTAACGTCGAATAAAATAATAAGGAACAAAGAATATTAATTTGATTAAAAAAGTATATTCAAAATATAAGAAGGAATAATTACGTTGGTTGTCAACTAGAAAAAAAAATTGTTTTTTTTTTTTGTAAGAAAAATATGATCATTAATGGCCGTACGGAAAAACACTGTGAGAAAGAGAGAATGAGAGCGGGAGAGAGAGAGAGAGAGAGAGAGAGAGAGATCCTGTGAAATCGTTGTATCTGTACTGAAAAAAAAAGAAAAACAAGCGCGAAAATGAAAATGTTTAATGAATTCCCTGCGCATGGAAAGGGTGATGGTGGTGGTACTATTCTCAAAAGAAGGCTTTATATACTCCGTCGTGTTCTTCCTGCTAGGATGCACTCGACAACTATGCCAGGGCTCAGACATTCTCGTCTCTCTCGTCTCTCCTTCTCGCACGCGTTTCGCTTACTCACGGACGATCGCTCGTTTGCTTGCTTACTTTCAATTTTATTTCGTTCCTTGATCATAACGTAGGGAACTATGGCAAATTGTATATACGTTCTCGGTTTGGTTACTCGTATAAAATTCGCGTTGATATTTAACAATAAAATCAAAATTTTATAACGATTCGAGCATCTCATTACACCCTTTTTAAATGCAATTTATACCACAAACTGGGACATGTTACGAAACTTGTTACGAAATGTTTATAATCAAAATTTCATATAAATTAAAAAAAATATGTTGATCCAATTGACTATATATATACTAGGATGCTCCGGCCACACATTGCTGTGGCTTTATTATAAAACGTTGATGTAATATAATTCTATTTAACAATAAAAATTCAAAATTTTATGACTAATTCGAATTCCCATATGAATATTAATTTGACTACATTGAATAGTTTAGTACTATATTAAATCAAAGTATTATAACAAAGCCACAGTAACGCGTGGCCAGAATCACCTAATTTTGTAGCAAATTATAAAAACATACAAAATTACAATGGAATACATAGAATAATAATATACAAAAAAATATTAAGGTTAGTTATGTCATATGTAAATCTGAAAAAAACATGTGACGTGAATAAATTGAAATAATTAAATTGTAATACAGCGCCACCTATTGAAAACTTACAGAACCTAGAGACTTAGATAACCTCTAAATAATAAATCCTTAAATTAGCAACAAAAAATAAAAATTAATTGCGATAAAAACTATCCTGTATTCTAAGTTGGAAAAAATCACATAAAATACAAAAAAATTTCATTAAAATGGGTTTAGTATTTTTAAAATTCATCGTAAACCAACAATGTGACACTGAATTTTTATATACAGGTAGCCCTCCTACAACACGGAATTCTATAACACGGTTTCCTTTCCAAAAACCTTTATACAACACTGTACTTCTACAGCTGCGACGAGGCTTGCCGTCTTAAAGATACAGTATTACGGAAAGTATTTCTTTTCATCTCCATGGCCTGAAAAAAAAAGTTTTTGGCTCACGGCTTCGGGTCTCATACAACACGGTTCACACAACACGGCATTTTCTAGGAACCTATCTACCGCGTTATAGGAGGGTTACCTGTACATAGAAGATAGAAAATATAATATATATATCAGGGTGGGTCAACAAAAAAATCAATTATTTTTTTTTTTACAAGTACCACGGAAAAATGGGTTGCTAGACACCTTAAAAAAATTCTCACCAAATATGAGCTCTTAATTTTAATAGGAAGATCCTCCGCATCGCAGTTTTTTATTTTTTTCTCAGTCCAATAGAATAAAATTCATACCTCATCATTAATTGATTTTCCGGAAAAAGTTTGTGGAAGAATTTTGTAGGAAATTTAATGCTCTACAAAAAAGGTATCTTATATTTTTTCCGTAAATCTCACCATTTGAATGATATTGAAGATTTAAGTTTGATTATTTT